AAAAAAAAAAAAAAAAAAAAAAAAGAATATAACCTGCAATAGCTGGGAGGTCTTTGTATGTTTCTTCACTGCTGTATCCCCAGGGTGCACTCATGGATGGGTGGGAAATATCAGGAGATAGCAAAACATTCCTTGGATGAAAGGATGGATGAGTGACTGGGCGCTAGGATGCTCTGAGGATGAAGCTTGTGAAACCCCAGTATGGAATTTGGGAGAGCCCAGCGCTGGCCTGAGGCCAGAGAGAAGGGGGGCTACCCCGAAAGTAAGAGCAAAACCAGGTAGGCCACATTGCTGGCCTACACCTAGATCCAGGAGCAACTGCTGAAACTAGTTTTAAAAAAAACCTTTAGCAAAAAGCACCTTAATCTCTTAGATGCATATACTCCTGCTTAAGAAAGCCCTCACAGGGGCCTTGTCCCACAATGCCCATCCAAAGAGTGGTACTTTCTACAAGGCTGAAATAAGCTTGGTCACTGAAAAGTTGTTATGCATGTTTATGTAGCCCCAAAATTCATCATGTGGAAACCCTAATTCCCAAGGAGATGATATTAGGAGGTGGCGCCTTTGGAAGGTAAATAGGTTTAGATAAGGTCATGAGGGTGGAACACCCATGATGAGATTCGTACCCTCATAAGAAGAGAAAGAGACTAAAGCTACGTGCAGATGCAGAGAAGCCACCTGAAAACCAGGAGGAGTGTCCCCACCAGACGCCAGATCTGCCGGAGCCTTGGTCTTGAGAGAAGCCACCTGAAAACCAGGAGGAGTGTCGCCACCAGACGCCAGATCTGCCGGGGCCTTGGTCTTCAGACAAGCCACCTGAAAACCAGGAGGAGTGTCTCTACCAGACTCCAGATCTGCCGGAGCCTTGGTCTTGAGAGAAGCCACCTGAAAACCAGGAGGAGTGTCGCCACCAGACGCCAGATCTGCTGGGGCCTTGGTCTTGAGAGAAGCCACCTGAAAACCAGAAGGAGTGTCGCCACCAGACGTCAGATCTGCTGGGGCCTTGGTCTTGCCCTTCGTGGCCTCCAGAACTGTAAGAAACAAGCCACCCAGTCTGTGGTATTGTGTTATAACAGCCCAAAAGGACAAAGTTGAATAGTTTCTGTATTTCTTTTCTTCTGTAAAAACCTCTGCTTCCAGAGGACGACCTTGCCCGCCTTGAGAGCATCTCTGTGGAAGCAGTTCCACCATTTGACCATGATGGCTCCAGTCATGTCTGCTCAACAGTAGAGCTTCCAAGGTAGCTACACTTCAGAAAACCAAAGTGGTTTCCCCAAACCAACCAAATTCCCTTCCATATGAACTCCATATAGCTTCAGCTGACATGATCCATCTACTCATAACATCCATCCAGCCGCAGATCCCTTTCCCAACTGGAACCTATAGTATTATTGTTGATAACATTAGTAATAATAATCAGCTTTCATTGAGAACTTACTCAATGCCAAACAGTTGCTTTAAGTGCTTTAGAAGAAGAACTGTCTCATTTAATCCTTACAACAATCATATGAGATAGGTATTATTATCCCCATTAGATAGATAAGGCAACTGAGGCCCAGAGAAATGCCACAGCTATCCCATTGTAACAATAAAAGGCAGCAGCACCAGAGCTTGAATCCAGCTAGTGCGCCAGACACTGGAGCCTCTTAACACTATGCAGCACTTCCTATTGATCGCCTGCTCTTCCTGACCATGAGTCTATCTATAGTGACCCTGAATATAGGCCACATGGAAAAGAGTTCTCTAGGCCTTTGATAACTCACATCTGGAAAGCAGGATCGGGTTTTCAAAATGCCTTTACACCATTTTTCTCCCCTAATCCAACACGGTGGCTGGATCTTCCTGGTCATATTTGCCTTTCAGCAGATGATGTGTCCTGAGCTCTGTGGGATGAGTGGTTTCTAGACAGGAACATGCTTTATTCTGTTCCATGGGTTGGCTTCTCCCAGCCTGGGAGGGCAATGCAGGATTGGCATCCAGAAGAACATTCCTAGAGGAAACAGCCTTGTCAGTGTGCAGGTACTTGTTTAAATTCCAGACCCTCGTTTTTTGAGACACACATCTGCAGCAGGCATATGTACTGTGATAGATGAAAACAAAAATGGTTTTCCATTGTATCTGTATTATTAGATTTGACCTACCATCAAAAAAGCAAAGAAAGAGTGGAAAATTAAAGGTGATTTGATATTAGCCTCCTATTCATATTAGAAAAAGTAACTACTCTTGCGGTTTTCCTCACAGAGGTGTCTTTATTCATTTGACATGCCTTTAATAACTAATTCTAGTTGTCTGGTTGCCAAGAAAGATTTCCTACGGGCAGACTTGAAAGTGACTCGGAACTCTTTGCATGCCCGGCTTCAAATGATCCCAGAACAGCAAACATTCAACTTCCCTCCAGACTTCTGAAGTGTGGGAATAACATGAAAGAATGAACAAGAATCATTCTGCAGCCTGCATATGCTGAGTGGAGCTGTCTGGCAGGGGTTACAGCTCTGTCTACATGGACCAGGCATAGTGAGATTTGGAAATAATCTCATGAATTTGATCTGTGGAGTCAGCCAAACCAAATGATTTATTTGTAAAAAGTAAATCTACATGAGGGCCAAAAGGGTGCAGGTCAGCCATAAATAGATTGAGAGTATTCTTCTGTCTGCACAGACCCAGAGTAGGCACAGAAAGACAGGAAAAAAACACCAAAATTTTTATCATAGGGTCACCACCAAAGAACATACACAATAAACATGTATAAATTTGTTACAGTGGGTATTCTTGTGTTTGTGACTGGCTAAGTGGATGACATAGATAAATTCATTTAATCCTCACAACAATCTGGCCTAGGAGGTAGTAGTGTCATTAATCCCATTTTACAGATGGAAAAACTGAGCCTCTGAGACATTAAATAATTTGCCCAGGGCACATAGTCTTGGGGGCCAAAGCTGGCTAGTTGTTTATCAAGCATTTCTTTTTTCCCTCCTGGACACACAGGGAGAGGCCATTTTTCAGGCTCCCATGCACTTAGATGATCTATGTGACTCAATTTTGACCAATACAAAGTGGATAGAAGAAGCCTAAGTCATTTCCAGTTCCCACCCGGACACAATCCTCCCTTTCCTATTCAATGACTGGATAGAGAGGAGGATAGAACCTGAATATGGAAGAATACAGGATCTGAAATAATGACCCTGAGCAGAGCTCTCTTCCTCATCAATCTGCATTGATTGGGCAGTGATTGAACTAGAAATTGTATTGGTTCCACCTGAAAACTAAGCTGACTAATGCAATTCATAGGCGGTTTCCAAAATCAAGGACTCCAAAGTCCATGCTCTTAATCTCCTCCTTGTCTGTACTACTTTGGGTCTGATTAACTACTTTCCAGGGCACATTAGGAGGACTCTAAGTGTTCTGAGTATCATTCTGCTTCCCACATTATAGGTCCTGGGATGGTGATTGTTGTTTAGCTATCTGCTTCCCTGTCTATCCAGACACATTCCTCTTTTTTAAGTATCTGGTAAAAGCTACTCCTGTCTCTTGGTTAATTCATCCCCATTGCAGGGCTTGGACCTCCAACTGGTCTTTGATTTCTCCTCCTCCCTGTAGACACATCTAATCAGTTTCTAGTTCCTCTTCCACCCTTGCACTTCACTTCATTTCCTCAGCCTGTGCTCTGTTCCAACCCTCATCCTATCTTGCCTGATTTAATCCTAACACGCTCCAGACTTGTCTCTACCTCCTACCCACCCTCCCATTGCCTCTAAAAGGATTTTCCTAAAATTGACCTGGACAAAGGTCAATTGTGTATCTAAGAATTTATAGATATGTGAGCTCTAAACAGTTAAGCTCATGAACTCATTCTAGAAGTGCTACAGACCTCATTGCTGAGCGTCACTGTTGTCACCTTCCAAGTACTCGCCTTGGGAAGCCGTTCATTCAAAGCAGTGCCTCGTCCACCCTTCAAAGCAATTTTGGAACTCTTTTCCTGGATTGGCCATCAGAGCTGTTGTTGTACAAGGTTGGACAATTAAGTTTGCGAACTTGTCCTAGAAAAAATACTTTGAAGAGTGAACTAGGCACTGGTATCAGTGCAGAGCTTCCTGAGGGGAGTACTTTGAAGGTGACCAGAGTGATACTCACCAATGAGGCATGTAGCGCTCTTTCTAGGATGAGTTCACAAACTTAACTGTTATACGCATAAAATGATTTACATGCAAAGATGTTCACTGTATCATCATTTGAAGTTGCAAAAGATAGAAACACCGAACATCCATCAATAGAGACTCATTAAATAAATTATGGAACATAACGAGCTCCACCTAAAAATCTCCCAGGTCTCTGGTTAGATATAATGAGCAAGGTGCAGGACAGTGTATATACCACACTAATATTGGGGTTTAGAAAGTATTGGGAGATATATTCACATGTGTGTCTACAAAGACTCGGGGTATCTCTGGATGGATGCCCAAGAAAATGGTAATAGCAGGCTTGGTGTCCATAGTGCAGTGGTTACGGCATCAGCCAGATACACCAGAGCTGGTGGGCTTGAACCCAGCCTGGACCAGCTAAACAACAATGACAATTGCAACAACGACAAAAAAAATAGCTAGGCATTGTGGCGGGCACCTGTAGTCCCAGCTACTTGGGAGGCTGAGGCAAGAGAATCTCTTAAGCCCAAAAGTTTGAGGTTGCTGTGAGCTGTGATGGCACAGCACTCTACCAAGAGCAACATAGTGAGACTCTGTCTCAAAAAAAAAGAAAGAAAATGGTAATAGCAGTTGCTTCTGGAAAGGGTACTAAGTAGCTGGAGTTCAGAGATGGGAAGGGAAACAATTTTCAGGGATATGTTTGTGTTGTTTAAAGATTTTATTCTATGCATATATTAATTTTAAAAATTAATACGGAATTGGTCTTCCTAGTACTTGGTTGGTAAACTCCCAATCCCTCGGTATGAAAAGAAAGACCCTTCAAGTTCTGGCTCCAGTACTGCGCACTCACTCAGCTGCACGTTCCATGTACTCCATCACTTCTGCATCTTTTTTAGCTCTGTCCCTTCAAAAGTCCTGTCCCAGCTCAGCAGAAGCTAATCTCATGTTATCTCCTCTGTGTTCTTTATAGTTTTAAATGACGGTCCAGGATCCCAGTTTTCTCCACATGGGAAGTAGCTGTCTTTCTTTCCTACAAAAGATGTCTTACACATAGAAAGTGTTCAGAATATGTCTGTGCCTTGAACCCAAGTTATAATTCTACATGTCACAGAAAAAACTTCTGATAATACTTGGGACTAGGGAGAAGGATGGGCTTCTCCTTCCTGGCAAAGAAGGATCAGGATCTGAAATCTGCCCTAATGGGCTGGGGACTAGGCAAGGTCAGTAATACAGTTTCACCTGGGACACTTTGCAAGAATGGACCTCCTTCGTTTGATTCACTCCCAAGGCCACTCCCCCCACCCCAGTCTCTTTGCCCAAAACCCCACCAAATCAGTGGTGCTGCTATGCTCAGAGCATTGGCTCTGTAGAATCAGGCTGATTACATGGAGCTTTCTGGGGAGAGAGACATCCATTGCCCTGGACCACAGTCTGGGGTTTAAACTCAGTTGTCACAATTATTTGAAGTCTATTAAGTTTATTTATGTTCCAAAGCAGGTCCACTAGAGAAGGACCATCATAGTCATAAATATCAAGGCTGCTGTTCTCCAGACCCAGCTGGGCCTCTAGGCCCCTCCCCTTCTTAGCTCTGCAGGCCCTGCTTAGCTTATAGGCTTGAGCCACATACTCTTATTCAGTGCAGTACCTACCCTGTTTGACCAATCTTGCCAGCCTGGCCAGTATAACACAAATCCCTTACATATTTTGTGTGGTGGGAGTGTGTTTGAGCAAGACTCAAAAGTCCACGGGCATGGTGGTATCTTCTAGACTTGTTCACATCAAGTACATAATATCAGGAGCCCAGGGGTACACACTTTCTCCTCAAAGACACATGGAGATCTAAGAATAGGCACTGAACCCAATGCAGAACTAGGGGCTTCCTGTGATCCAGCGGTTCTCAATCTGTGGATCACGACCCCTCCTTTGTAACAATGAAAATACATTGGGGCATTAGAAAGGTTGAGAACCACTGCTCTACTCCAACCTAGAAGCCTTTAAGAAAACAAAGGATTGATGACATGTCTGAAGATATCCCCAGAGTTCTTAGCTGGGTGAGGTTTTGATCATTTTACCCA